ATGAAACAAGTATAGTTCTGTCACCTAAACCAGGGAAAGACAAAACACAGTATAGGTCAATATCATAAACACTGATTCACAATTTTAAACAAAATCCTATCAAACAAACTATAGTGATTTATCTAAGAAGTCATTCATTATGACCAAGTAGGATTTATTATCAGTGATATAAGGATGACTCAACATTAAGGAAATAATCAACATAATCACATTAAAGACAAAAACATCCAAAACCACAAGATCATCTCAATACGCGAAGAAAAAGCCTTTAACAGAGTAGAACATTCATTTATACCCTAGAAAGTATAGGCATAGAGGGCCCTCTTTTTAATCATAAAAAGCATCTATCTAAAACCAAAAGTAAGCATCATAGGCAATGGAGATACAGTGAAATCTTTTCCAATAAACACAAGAATAAAGCAAGAATGCCCATTCTCCCCACTATTATTTGATATAGTTCTGGAGATGCTAGCAGCAGCAATAAGACAAGAGAAAGAAATTAAATATAGGTAAAGCGGAGATAAAACTCTCCCTATTTGCTGATGTTATGATTTACTCGGAAAATCCTAAGGAATCAGCAAAGCTACCTATTGAGACAATGAATAGCTTCAACAAAATTGCAGGGTGCAAAATAAATCCTCAAAAATCAACAGCATTTCTATATAATAATAAAACACAAGAAGCAATAATAAGGGAAATCTTAATCCAAATAACTACAAAATGTACAAAATATCTGGGGATTGACCTACCAAAGCACACAAAAGACTTGTAACAGAATTTAGTAAGGATCAGGTGAATCTAAAAAAGCAGGATTTGTAATCATGTTATCAGACAAAGCAAAAATAAAAAATTCACAACATACACATAAAAAAGGAAACTATATTATAGGCAACAAACTAGTATTAATATTAGGCTGATGCGTTTCCACTGCCTTAGCATCTAAATTCATAAAGAAAAAAAAATCTTAATTACATGAAGACATCATTAACAATAAGAGAAATGAGAAGATCACAATAACTTTAAGGTTTTACCTCACATGGAGCAAATTAGCAAAGATGACAAAAGATGGGAATAGTCAATGTTTGGGAGGGTATGGAAACATAGGCATATTAGTGCATTGTTGGTAGAGTTGTAAATCCATATAACCAGTTTGGAAAGCAATTTGAAATTATGCAAATAAAATGACCAAATGTCCACATACTGTGACCCAGAGATTTTACTACATGTACCCCAAGAGGGTCATTGATGTCATTGATTAAAAAAAAAGCCTCAAACGTTTATAAACAAAGCACCAAAATATTCATGCCAGTACTTTAAAAAATTATTTTTATTTTCCTTTTCTGTCAGTCAATCTGATAAGTGTGAGGTGGTTCCTCAGAGTTGTTTCAATTTTCACTTCTCTTAATTATTAGTGCTTTAGAGCATTTTTTTCATATGACTATTGACAGCTTTGATTTCTTCCTCTGAAAACTGCCTGTTCACATCCCTTAACCATTTATCAATTGGGGAATAGCTTTTATTTTTATAAATTTGGTTCAGTTCTGTATATATTTGAGAAATGACATTTTTATCAGAGAAACTTGGTATAAATTTTTTCCCAATTTCCTATTTTTCTTCTAATTTTGGCTATCATAGCACTTTTTGTAGAAGCAAAGAACTAGAAACAAAGTAGATGGCCATCAATTGAGAAATAGCTAAACAAATTATGATATAACAATATAATAAAATATTACTGTGCCGTAGGAAATGACAAACATAATGAATGTACAGAAGTATGGAAAGACTCACGTGAACTATGCAGAGTGAAGTAAGAAGAGCCAAGAAAATAGGCACAATTATTGTAGTAACTTTTCACAAAGGGACAAAAAGAGTTGAAACAGAAAAATAAATCTGAGAGCTTCAAGAAATATATATTCCTACTTCGGTGCCAGAAGAATATGACTAATACATAAGAAGTTCGAATAATTGTATTTGGCAAAGACACTGGAGTGGTTTCTCATTTCCTTCTCCAGCTTATTTTACAGATGAGGAAATTAAGGCAGACAAGGTTAAGTGACTTGCCCAGGGTCACACAGCTAGTAAGTGTCTGAGGCTGGATTTGAACTCAGGAAAATGAGTCTTCCTTACTCCAAGTCCAGCAGCTCTATCCAGTGCCTGAAAGTAAAATAGCTGTCCAATATTCCTGCCAATCTCCTGAGAATCTTTCCTATAACTCAGGAGAACATATTACGAGTAAAAGGTTGCTATTTTAGGTTTTAAATATGTGTTAATGGGCACTTATATGAATCTTTGACATCTTAAGCATTTCCTATACCTGATATTTACTACTTTGAACATTGAGTAACTTTCCTAGAAGGGTCCCTGTTAATCCTTTTGGGGTACGTCCCACACACCAGCACACCTAAGCTTTTATCTAAGAGATTTTTCCATAGGACTTTGGAGAGTCCCATGGAAATATAATGATCCAGAGAGTGTGAGATATCTGATTCCCATTCTTTAAGATCAAATTCCCAAAGGACTTATTGCTGTTTATACCCTTTGTGGAAAAAGGAACCTGTGCTCGGTTGTGGGTAACATGAATATAGTTCTTTCTGCTAGAACTCATACACTCTGCATATTTTCATATAAAGCTTGCCATATTTCTTTGAATTATTCATATTAATCATTTCCTGATAGTTATATTCCATAATTTTCAAAACAAGACAGCATGGCATAAGGGATAGAGAACCAGCCTCACAGTCACAAAAAACTGGATTCAAGCACTAGCTTTCACACATACTGGCAGAATGATGCTAGGGAACTCTATTAGGGTGATAAATCGGAGAGTGGTAGCTGCCTTGGTAAGAGGGAGTTTCCTACAGTAGTGAAGTCAGAAGTCCAGAAAAAAACAAACATATACCAGTCTCCAACAATTGGCACATGATTTCTTTCTAACTTTATGCTATTATAAATAATGCTTCTATGAATACTCAAATATTCAAATGGATCTATAATCTCAATAATTTCAGAGTTCCCTCCAACACAGATCACAACCCATCCATGCCTGCCCATCCTGTGTGACTGGTGCCCATGTTTTCCCAAAAGTTCATCCACTTATCACATGAGTAGCCCTTCTCAATCTCTCTAGAAATTGCCACAGACTACTTTGGCTGACCACCTATTATCCCTTGCTCTTGCCACATGACCAGCCCAACTTTTCTTCCTGTCATAGAATTCTTTAATGGCATTCTTTACTCCTATTCTTCAGAGCTCCTCATTGGTTATGTATTTCAGTCTGTTCACTACCACTATATGCCTTTTCACTGCTCTCTGTAGATACTCATTAGCTTTTTTTTTTTGGCTAGGCAATGGGGTTAAGTGACTTGCCCAGGGTCACACAGCTAGTAGGTGTTAGTGTCTGAGGCTGGATTTGAACTCAGGTCCTCCTGAATCCAGGGCCGGCGCTCCATCTATTGTGCCACCTAGCTGCCCCTCTTCATTAATTTTTCAGAGACAACGGTGTTCCATATCATGCTGCCATATAGGAAAAAAACAAACACTAAAATATTAGTATTAAAAAGACAGAGCTTCGCTTTCATGGGAATCTTAGGATCAGGAAATAAGCTCTGTAGTTTCCCAAGGACAATTTAGGCCATTTTCATTCTCCTTTTCAACTGTGAACCCAGCCCACTGACCATCAGTACTATCTGTCCCAGATATACATACTGTTGTTCAAGTTCTATAAGGTATCCATCCAACTGCTTGGCTAGTAAGTGTCTGAGGCCAGATTTGAACTCAGGAAGATGAGACTTCTGGACTCCAGGCCCAGCACTCTATCCACTCACCACCTAGCTGCCCTTCAGGGAGCTTACATTCTAATAAAGGAAGACAGAAAATAAATGGCTGCTGAGGAAGGGTGGGAAGGTTATATCAAGTGTGGGCTACAGAATAAGCTGGAGGTGAAGGAAGTAGATAGATAGATAGATAGATAGATAGATAGATAGATAGATAGATCCTTCCCCAGAAGCTCTGCAGCATCCTAGGGCTTGACGTAATCAATCAGCCAAACGTCATCCAAAAAAAAGGAGTACCTGGAGAACCTCACCAACCACAGGGAATTCTTTTTCAACTAGGACTTTACACTAGATCTCCTCCATCACAGCGGTGGCTACCTTTGGCAAACACATCAAGTGCTAAACAGGTCCAACAGAACTTACTGTCTTTCCCTTAAGTTACGACCCAGCTCTTGCCAACTCCCTGTTGCAAATGAAGGTACTTTCATCCTCCCAGTCACTCAGGCTTGCAATCTTAGTGTCCTTCTCAACTCTTTGTTCTACATATATCCATTCTGTTACCGTATCTTGACATCTCTGCCCTCACAACATCTCCCACATGCACCCCCTTTATTCTACTCACACAGCCACCACCCTTGTTCAGGACCTCTTCACTTCCCATCAGGACTATTGCAATCACTTCCTAATCGGTGCGTCGGTCTCCTGTAATCCAATCTATTGCCCAGACAGATGCCAAAGTGATTTTTCTAAAGTACAGATCTGACCATGTCACCTTTCCTGACCACTCAATAAACTCCGGTGGCTCCCGAATACCTCCAAGATCAAATATAAAGTCCTCTGGCATTTGAAGCTCTTCATAACCTGAACCCTTCCCATCTTTCCAGTTTTCCTACATTTTATTCCCCTCTGGACTGTATTCTGCAATCTAGCCACACTGGCCTCCTTGCAGTTCTTGAATACTTATGCACCACTGTCTCCCACGCCTGAAATGAATTCCCGCCTCACCTCTGCCTTTTAATTTCCCTGGCTTCTAAAGGAACATGCACATAGCAAGCACCCAGTTAAAGTCACCCGATTCAACCAAATGCTTAAATCGCTCTGGCCTCTACTTCGGCTTTAAGATGACCCCGCCCTCAACCTCCCCACGTGGTAAAAGTGGGCGGGAACTTAGAGGAAAGCTTAGTCCGGAGATTCTAAGGGGCCTATTGGTGCCTATGTCAAGAAGAATCCAAGATGGCAGTAGGGGAAGTCGTTACTACCGGTTAACACTTTATCTAGTCATGAAGAGAAAAAGAAAATGTCACCCTAGCTGAATGAACTTGGGCTAATATTAAAGTATTTTTAATGGAAGTCTTGAAATTTAGAGGCAGAAGCAACAAGAAGATCGGCATATGAAATGAAGACCTCCCCCTGCTGCGCGGGGCGTGATTAAACGCCTCTTCCGGCCCCTCTCCCCGGGCTAGAAGCAGTAGAGAGCGCTCCGTGAAGAGAAGCCTCACGGAGGGAGCGCAAGGCCTTCTGGGAAACGGAGGTCCTCCGCCACCATCTTGCTTTCCCTGATCCCTGTCAGTACGGGGTCACGAGTGAGTTGGGGCCATGAAGCTGCTAACGGGCGCCGGATCCCTCTCGGTGAGTGCAGCCGGCTTGGCGGAGGGCGTGACGGGCTTCCAGGGGAGGGGAGCTGGGGGGGGGCCGCCTGGACGAGGGCCCTTCGCCGCGCTTCCCCGTTCTCCGCTTGTCCTTCAGCTGATCTCCGCGGAAGTAGCAGGCGGCCGGGGCCGGGGTGGCTGGGGAGACGGCGGGGCTGCCCCCGGGGGGACGAGCAGAGCCCCGGGCCGCTCCTTCCTGAAGGGCTGAGTGGTGGCTAGTGAAGGTCACTTCTGTGACCCCTGGCTGTGACCCCGCGCCGGGGGCGGAGCGGGGTCGGACCCGGACCCGCCGCTTGAACCCCTTCATGTGAAAGCCGGGACATTGATTAAGTACGCTTCTCGAGGCTGGAGGGGTGCAAAAAAACTTGCTGTTCCTCCTCCGGGGGCCGCAGCTCAGCCTTCGGAGCCGGGTGCAGGGCACCCTGCAAAGCGGAGAAATACTTAGGAGTCTGGGTGACCCCCCGCCCCCGTTCACCCCCCACCCCAGCCTTCAGCTTCCACGTGGGGACCAGGTAAACAGCTCATCCAGCCTCCAATTCCACAAGTAAAGGATATGTAGGCTTTTGAGTTTTTGACTCACTGGATCCAAGCCTTATATTTTCGTAGCGGCTGTTAAATGGCTTAATGTGAGATCAGTTTTTCTGAAGGTCCAGAGTTTGTTTAGAGAGGTAATAATAGATCAGGATGTGTAGTGTCTCTGGCAGTTAAGTAAACCACAAAGCACTATAAAAAATGTGAGTTGTTATTTCATTCCATTGAAGTTTATTTTTATAGCCAACCCCTGGGATCAGAGGAATAAAGTGGCTTCCATTTGAAGAGAAAGAACTTTTGGTTCAAGAATTGAAACACTTAAATTGTAATTATGAATAGGTATGAATTGGAGGGTGTGTTGAGGGGATCGGGGAGGGGGCGCAGGGGTTATAAGGAGGCTGCTGCAAAGTATGACCATTGGAAAGCCTTGTATCATCAGTATACCTTTAAGGCACCTTCTAAGATAGGATTCCCTAGTTGCCCAGAAAGCTATTTAAAAGCTCCTGCTAAAAATATTAGATAAAAGTTCCTTGATGATCTCAACTTCACATTCCTCTCTCTGAATGCAAATTTCTTTTGCTTCTCGAATATCACCTTCCCACTCCTTCAAATCTATTAATGCCCCCTCAACCTTGAATGTTGGCACTCTTCTGTATTTTCCCAGTCCATCATCCCTCTTTTGACATCCTTTGCCTCTTCTACCCAACCTGGACCCCTAGTTAACTTATTTTAATGATATTTTCACTAAGAACCTAGCATCCCTAGGACCCTTGACTGTACTTTCCTTCACTATCTGAAGGGAATTTCTGTCATATCCTTTTCCAGAAGCAATTGTTGAGGATTGCTGGTGGTAAAAGTAATAAAACCATACAGATTGTTTCTACTACAAATCAGTGCTATTTAATTGATGTGTCAGAGTAGAAAGAGCACTGGACTGGCGCTCAGAATACCCGATTTCCTATTCAGGTTCTGCCATTAACTGGTTTCAGACTGGGCCTTGGTTTGGCTGTCTGTAAAATGAGAGGACTGGACAAGATAATCTTTAAGGTTCTTTCCATGTAAAATATTTTATATGAATTTGTCTTACATTTGTGGATATATAAGGATATTAGGTGATAATCCTTTTACTCACCTTTTATTCTCTAATGTAGAAGTATCAAACTGTGGCCAACCAAATAAAAAATGTAATTGGGAAATGTTTAGCAAAAATAAAAATGCAGTATTGTCTAGGTAATGTTAATTTGTGGTTTTCTAAGTTAGTATACTGACCATAGGGATCCTTTTTTGTTTTTAGTTTTACACCACTGCTCTAATGTATTCTCCAGATGAGTGAAATGTAAAAAAAAAAAAACTTTTCCCATTTTCCTTAAGTTCACTTCACTTTCATGTGATGACCTTTTTTTGGTAGCTATACATAGTCATGTTTAGGACCCAGAGAAATCTTAGACATCATCTACCTCTGTGCTCTCATATTCTACATAACGAAATAGAGATTGAGAAAGGTTGAAGTGACTTGTCCAAAGTCAAAGAGGAAATTAGTGACTGAACCAGTGTGACTCAAGCCAATAATAGCACCTTCCTCTTGGGGATAGCATGACGATCAAATGAGATTGATGTGTATAAAATGCTTTCTAAGCCTTAAAGCACTTGAAAGAACTAGTACTATTAATTCCTACTGTATTGTGGTGCTTCCTCTTGAGTTATGAAATACTATTTATATCTTTAGTTCTTAGAATACATATTGACTAATGTGAATGAATGAATGAGGCATCTATTTAGCTGTACCAAGCACTGTGCTAAGCATTAGGGATACAAATACAAAAGTAAGACAGTCCCTGCTCTCAATCAACTCACATTTGAATGGGGAAAACAGTGCATTTCAGCTACAAGTCTGGAATGGCAAGGTGTCATTGTCCTTGGTGCAAAGCAGATGGTTAATTCCTTTCCTCTAAGGTCATTTCCACTGATAAAATCCTATCAGTTTCTGATATTGAACTGTCTGATGATGCCAACGACTTTGGTGGCAAGAACTTTCTTTTTTTGGGTCTTCAATGTCTGTGGCTGTTGCCAGAATTCATCTCTTAAGGAGTTACTTCCTAGGATAGTGGTGGAGGGTACTGGGTTGGAAACACTGTTATTTCCAAGAGTCTTGGGCTATCTCTATCAGGGCCCTAGAGAAAAGGGTAATGGTGGTGGTGGTAGTAGTAGTTTGACTTACTTGTCGATGACTTAAGGACGTGCCCTGAGTTTTCTGGCTTTGTGATTTGATGTTGAGTTGGTTTGCTTCGCTAAGCCATAAAGTGATTTTTGTGGTCTGACACCCATATGTAACCCATGTGTAACCATTCGTAATTTTGGTTTAATGTCTTTATAAATCATAGTACCCTTGGATCCAGCCTAGGTCTTATGATTTTATAGAAAGCACTATTCACGTCAGGAATATTTTTCGTTGTTTGTGTTTAGAGACGATTTTATTCCCTCAAAGTTGCCCCAAGAATTAAAGCCTCTGCTGCAAAAGCTCCTGTACAACTCCATCCTGAGGAACTTGAGGTGAGTCTAACCAAATCTCTCAGATGTTGGTCAAAAAAAGTTCTTTCATTATTTAGTTATAAGAAGACATTAATAACATCTCTGCTTTGTTTTGACTATAGCTAACAAAGTTACCAAATGGCTTAGTGATTGCCTCTGTGGAAAACTATGCTCCAGTTTCAAGAATTGGTTTGTTCATTAAAGCTGGTAGTAGATATGAAGATTCTACTAATTTTGGAGCCTCCCATTTACTCCGTCTTGCATCCTATTTGGTAAAGATCTTTCCTTAATACATTTGACTTTTTTTCAGTCATATTTATTAAATCACATAAATGTTTGCAAACAGATGCATATCTTCTAGTTCTGTTTTCTTGGCATAATTTATTTTTATAGCATACTAATGTAAATATTTGTGGATAAAAATAAACTTTAAATTTGAAAGAGTGGTGGCAGCTATTAAAAGCACAATATATTTTTATATTAAGATTGGTCTGATGCATAAGATTTTAAGTATAGTTTAATTTTTACACTTAAAAACAAAAAATTAAACCTGCAAATTTTAAACTGAAGCAAACCATTTAGGCATATTAACACATTATTAAAAAAAATCTAGTCCTGAAAGAGACAGTATATCTAACCTTAAAAAAAATTCTCAATTAATTTTCTGTATGGTATAGGAAATTTGATGATCTTTTATTAAGATAAAATATGTCCTTGATGAAAACAATACTAGATATTATCTGATGTCTGAATGTGACAAAACCAGAGAAATACATGAAAATGCTTCTTGAAATACCATATTTCATTTCATAATTTTTGCACCCTTTCATCGTGTAATTGTTGCATGGTATAATTCTGTTCCTCACAGCGCTTAAAAGGTAAACAGGAGCAGTGTATTCACCAGTGGCATATGGCTGTGCATTTATTTCTCATGCATTGTGAGCGTAGCGTTGTCAGTGTATTTCCAAAAGCCAATTTTGTGTGGTTTGTTAGCAGGCGGCAAGCAGAGCTGCCATGAGTAAGTTGTATGATATGGTATGACTGTACCTTCTCACCCTAGCTAAAGTTCATCTACCGGATGACACAGTTTAGTAATAAATAATGTTTAAGTAAAACTGGCACCAATTTTTTAAAGCTTCACATAATGATTGCACCCTACTTTTTTGGGGAAAAAATTTGGCATAAAATCTGTGATGATCATGTGGTGAAATATGGTATGTTGGCCTGAATACATGATTAAAGAAAAATACAGCATTGCATTTTAAAGTACAGTCAGATTTTTTTATCACCGTATCACTAAAATTATATATGTGTGTGTGTATATAAATAATATGTGGCATGTAGTATATGTATATATTAGTAAGGTATCTTGAAGGTAAGATTCTTCAACATAGTTTGAATATTATCTTTGTTGGAATGTGTTACTCATGTAATCCTGTTAACAATTTAACTATTGTTGAAATACTGGGGGGTTTTTCCCTTCTTCTGTAATGCTGCCAATTAAATACTCTTTCTTGGATTCTTTGACCAGATAAGCTAAAAGTAATCCTTCCTTTAAGATTTGGCCTGTTTGAAGAAGAGGAACTTGGCGTGTGCCTTAGACAGTATTCAGTTCCTTTCCTCAAGCCTAACAACTTCTTTAGTAGCTCCCATCAATACATTAAGAAAAGCTTATTATGTGCTTCTGTTCTATAGAGTCCTAATAGTTTAGATAATTTTTGCTTGATTAAAACTAAAGAAAATATACTTAAGAGCCTTTCATCTTTGAAATCATTGGTTTGAATCAAATTATGACCACTTAATGGCTTTTCAGAGAGAGTACCAGCTCAGCTTTTTCAGGCAGATACATAAGAGATCAGCACAGTTTGTTAAATCATTCTTCCCTTATTGGACAAGTATATTTCTAACATTCATAAGGGTTCATTTTAGTTTTTGAGCTTGCTAACAGCCTTAACCAGTGTTTTGATTTGGATATTTGTTGCCATTCTAGTATCGCTTTTGGTAAATTTGGTATTTCAAAATTACTGACAAAGAAGATTTTCTTTTCTTTTTTTTTTTGTAAAGACTACCAAAGGAGCTTCTTCTTTTAAGATAACCCGAGGGACTGAAGCTGTTGGTGGTAAATTAAGGTATGTCAAATAAAATACATGGTTATTCATTGAAGCTAAATAATGTTGGTTCTACAAGGTAGCCATATTATAGGGAAAATAACTTATTTTACTAATTCAAATCACTGACCTTAATGTATTTCTTGTTTAGTGTGACTAGTACAAGGGAAAGCATGGCTTATATTGCTGAATGCCTCCGGGATGATGTGTAAGTATCAGTTTATTTTGTCTGTCTGATTCTTGCCCTTTTTGCAAGGCAAGCATATTAGCATTGGTTTTACTTTAGGATTATTGTCCCCAAATTTGCCTCTGTGTCTTTCACAGTGATATTCTAATGGAGTTCCTGCTCAATGTCACCACAGCACCAGAATTTCGACGTTGGGAAGTAGCAGATCTTCATTCACAATTAAAGATTGATAAAGCAGTTGCTTTTCAAAACCCCCAGACTGGTAAAAAAAAAAGCATCTTGATAAACTACATTTATGATGGTACTGTTGGAGCTTAAAGATGATCTGACTAGCTAGTTAGGGCTGGCCTCTTAGGTGCCTGTACAGTGGTAGGGCCATGGAGCCAAGAGGTGGGCCATAGCGGTACCCAGTCAAGAGCCCAGTTTTGGCTGACCTGATATGATCAGATTGGGCAACTGATTTACACTAACCAAATTCACAGGAAACTGATTAGGAAACAATAACAACTTAATATTTGCAGTGGAAAAATAGAATTACCAGAGGATATTGTCTGGAGTCAGTGGGAAGCAACATGTCTGCTAGTAATTAGTGGGCATTTTTTGCCAGTAGGAATATTTACTTAAAAATCAAACTGATATTGGAAGATTGTTTGGTGAATTAAATTTCATAGGAGCCATAACTTGTTTATGTTAGGCCCACTACATGTGCCTTCATTGCCTTCTGGGTGATATTCACTCTCAGTCCTTCAGAGACTGTCATCTATTACTTCTGATTAATTTTTACTATCACTGTTGTACTATATCTCATCTCCTCATGGCTCTCCAGAAAAAATATACATCATCATTCCCTGCTCTATAAACACAAACAGCTTCATGAGAAAATGAAAAAATTTCACAATAAACTCATCGAGTTTGCATTGTTCTTTTAGCAGTGAAAGATACTAGATATGACACAAACAAAAATGTATGAGACCTAAAAGTCTCGCCATTGATTGAAGTATCTCAGGCCAGTTTTTCTCATCTTAAATACTGCTGTCCCAAAATAGCATTAGGAGTCAGATCCTTACATCAGTGCTTAAGTGATTGTCCAGATTATTATTTCATGTGGAATAATGTATATTTTTAAAAAACTTTGAGGGGCAGCTAGGTGGCGCAGTGGATAGAGCACCCATCCAGGAATCAGGAGGACCTGAGTTCAAGTCTGGCCTCAGACATAACACTCACTAGCTGTGTGACTTGGGCAAGTCACTTAATCCCGACTGCCTCACCCAAAAAAAAAAGGTAGTAAAAATCTTTGAAAAACATTATAAACACTATAGATTTAGGATTACTCTTACTTGTGTTAGAATTTCACTAGTGAAATTTATAATTTTTGTACTGCTGGTTATTGTAAAGGACTTAGACTCGGATTACTTTTGAACTGTATGAAGAAAAATAAATATACTATTGACTTGTGTCAAGAAAGTTAGGCGATGGAATTTTAGACATAAAGGGGGCCTTAAAGATCATCTAATCCAATTCTTCATGTTATAGATGAAGAAACTAGTCTAATAGGGTTAAATGGCTTAGGCAAGGTCACACAGAAAGTCACAGAACTAGGGTCAAAATCAGATCTCTCGATGCCTAGAGTGGTCTTTCTAATGTTGTAGTTCTGGAAGCTGTGGAGGGTAGTAAAGTACATTGCCAATGTGCCAGAGGAGTTATGTACTCTAGAGATATAAATTCCTAATGAGTGTGACACATTTTAAAAAAAAAGAAAACCTGCTACTGATATCCTTCATTTCCTTTGCCAGCAAGCAGAATTTTGTATTTTGCTGACAGGCAACCATAAATTTCAAGTCCAAAAATACTTAAACAGAGTAGAACAATCAGAGGGCCAGATATTTTCTCCTTTTCCTCACTTCTTTACTATCCTCACTTTAAGTTGTATTTCAGTGGATTTTTTTTTCCCTTTCTTCTTTGTAGGTGTGATTGAAAATCTGCATGCTGCAGCTTATCGGAATGCCCTTTCTAATTCCTTGTATTGTCCAGATTATAAGATTGGGAAAATTACTCCAGAAGAGGTAACTAATCTAACATTTTGTAATTAATACTGTTGCTTTGATATTAAGTATGGTATTTATCTACTATTTCTGTTTTTAGAAAATCTTTTTTTTTGTTTAGTTTTTAACAAAAGCCTACTTAGAAAATCCTATGTGGACTTTTATTCTTAAATTATGTGCTGTAATGTTACTTCACTAGGAAATTGGTATGCTTTAGAAGATACTACCCTGTTCCTGGTTAGAGGAGCCTTTTGAGTTTAAATATAACACTGCCTTCTCTTCTCTGATGCTTCATCCTAGGCTTTTCATTTGGCAGGAGGTGGGTGGGGATTTTGCAGAATCTCAAAGTTGGGAGGGGCCTTCATAGGCCATCTAGTCCAACCAATACCTTGTGAACAAAAATCTCCTTTAAAATATCTCTAACAACTGGTCATTCATAGCTTGAAAACTGATATTGAGAAACACCTATTGCCAGGTCTAGTGATTGGTACATGTCTGTAGTCCTTGCTGCCAAGGAGGGTGAGTCTCATAGATTGCTTTTACTTAGGTGATCTGAACTGCAGTAGAGCTAAAGATGATTAGATGTCTGCACTGAGTCCAGCACCAATATGGGAGGAGAGGGTTGCCTCTGGATAGATGAACTGACCCATGTCAAAGCTTCTACCTTAATAATTAGTGGGATCATGCCTTGTGAGTAGCTACTATATTACTAGCCTGGAAAAGAAAGGGAGTCTCAAAAAAAAAGAGATAGCCACTGTCTCCTAAGCCAGCTCATTTCACATTTGGATAATTCATGATATAGGAAGTCCAAGTCATTGATGGGAAGGAGGTAAAGGTGATGGTCCAAGTAGAAGCATCATAGTATGAAGTGATCTGGGAAATGGCATGTAAGCTGAGGTGTTAGCAATATAAACCAAAAGCTGAGGGCAGAATCCAGGTTATCAGTGGGGAGAAGATGGAAGCGATATCTGTTGCCATGTTGTACTCAAAGACTTTCTAGCTTGCTAAGACCTGTCAGGTCTTGTCTTCTATCACAGCTTTCTAGACCTGCAAAAGCAGATGTTAAAATGAAGATAATAGCTTTAAAGTTTATTTAATTAGAAATTAAAGATTCATCCTCACTTCAGTTTTAATCAGCCACTACAAGAAAACAGGCCACATTTTCCCCCTTCTTTTTTGCTTACGTTGGTTCACAAGAGCTTTGGTTTCTTGAAGGAAGCCAGGAATCATGAAGGACAAAGGTAGAAAGGGAGAGCATGCCAGGCCTGGGGGAGAGCCAGTACAAAGGCATGAATATGGAAGTGTGAGGTCATGGAAGGATTAGAAATTACACTTGTATAGAGTATATAGAGCACAGTAATATGAAACTAGGAAAGGCTGAATTAGGTTGCAAAGAGCTTTAAATGCCAAATAGAGTTTATATTGGATCTTAGAGGTAATAGGGAGCCACTAGAGTTCATTGAGTAGGGAAAGTGACATGGTCAGCCCTGTACTTTAGGAAAATCACTGGCAGCTATGTGGAGAAGATATTTGGAGTGGGGAGAGACTCAAGGCTGGGAGACTGATCAGGAGGCTGTTTCATTAGTTAGGGTGAGAGGTAATAAGGCCTGAAGTAGAGTCTGTCTGAGTGGAAAGAAGATCTGTCCCAGAGACACCATGAAGATAGAAATAACAAGATTTTATAAATGATCAGATATACTGGATAAGTGAAAGTGAGGAATTGAGTATGATTCTGAGGTTGTAGATGTGCCTGACTAAAAGGATCGTGATGACCTCAGCAATAATAGGGAAGTTTGGGACATGTGGTTTTGTGGGAGAGGGGAAAGATAATGAGTTTTGTTTAGGATATGTTGAGTTTGAGACATCCAGTTCAAAATGTCTAGTGGCAGTTCATGATGCTGAAATGACGAGAGAAAAGAAAGCTGTATAAACAGATGTGGGAGTTATGTGTATAAAGATGATGATTGAACCCATGGGAGCCAGTGGGATCACCAAGTGAGAGAATAGAGAGAAAAGTGAACAGGGTCCAAGGCAGGACCTTGGGGTACACCTGGAATTGGTGGGCATGACAAGGTTAAAGGTCCTGTAAAGGAGACAGGAAAAATAAGAGAAAGTAGAACACTGAAATCCAGGGAATAGAGAAAGTGGTCAGTGTCAAATGTTGGATAAGTCAAGATGAACTTTTGATCCCTGGGACACAAGTAGTATAAGTTTATTTTAGCACCACCTATACAGAGACAATCTGTTGTACAAGTTAAATACCACTACAACAATATCCCTGTATAATGGTAATATTTCCAAGTGCTAGCCAGTGACCCTATTCTTTCAAACATAATGTGATAAAATGAAATTTTAGTGCAACTTAAAATTTACCTTAGTGGGTTTGTAAAATCGAGAGGTTTGTACTAGATGATCTAAAAGGTTCCTTCTAACTCTAAAAGTCAGTTCTGCTATAACTCAGCATATGTATTCCTATGCATGATAAAAGATGAGGGTTGAATTTGTGGATACAGACCAACCCACTTCCTCCTGCTTCATCAAAAGACGTATAAATATGGCACTCAAGACACATTTGAGATGTTAAATGTGGTTGGTGTGAACACATAAAAGTTCACAAATGTGAAAGAATAGCAAAACACAATTTTGCAGAGAATATTTGCAAAGTGCTGAGCACGGTACTGTCCTGGCATGTAGTGGGCACTGTATTCCCTTTCTTTGCCTTTCGTAGGATAACACACCATGACCTGAGGTGTAGTGGCTGGTAGATTTTTGAAGTTTACGAATTTTGTATATTCCCCTGGGGCTTGGTTTATCTGGGTGAAGTTTTCTAGGTTGACTGTTTTCTCACAAACAAAATCAAGCATAAGCAAACTCAAAATTTGGATATTCAAAACAAATGTTAAAGCAGAACTATCACTATTTTTTGTTTATATTAATGTCAAAATAACTTGATTAAAGTATTTTCACTTCTTCAGCTTCATTACTATATACAGAACAATTTTACAAGTGCAAGGATGGCTCTGGTTGGACTTGGTAAGTTTTGATATAGCTGTCTTTGATTGCCTATCCGTTAATATAAAGCATAGTCTGAATACAGTGTGGGATCTGATTTGAATAATGGGTTACAGGTAAATGGGAGACCTTTAGTCAGTGGCTTCAAATACTGTGATTACCTTTTGTTTAATTTCTAATGACATTTTTAAGTCAGAATCTGATATTTAACTTTATAAATAGCCTGTTTGAATTTTCATTTTATGAGCTCCAGTTTTGACTTGTATCTATTACTGTAGGTATAAACCATGTTGTTCTGAAGCAAGTTGCCGAGCAGTTTCTAAACGTGAGAGGTGGGCTTGGCATGTCTGGTTCAAAGGCTCATTACCGTGGAGGTAGGTATTTTTGGTTAGGTTTGGTTTTATCAGAGGACATAAAATTGGTCTGTTTCTAATTCATGCACAGGCAGTGTAATATAATGGAAAACGTGCTGAACTTTGAGTCAGGAGAACCTTGTGCTTGAATCTCATCTCTGATATTTATTAGCTTTTTGAACATGGGGTAAGTCACCTCTCTGAGCTCTTCCATTAGCTGTTACTATTTTCATGGGGAATATGAAGGGAATGATTTACTTTACTATCAACAGCTGTATAACTTTGGATAAATAGGTTCAATTATCTGGATCTCAGTTTCTTTGTAAAATGAACAGGTTGGACAAAATTATCCCATCCTCAATCAGTAAACATTTATTAAGTGCCTACTATGTACCAGGCACTGTGCTGGGGAAACAGAAAGAGGCAAAAGACAGTATCTGCCCCCAGTGAGTTTACAGTATGTAAAAAAGAATATACAAAGCAAGCTATATACAGAATAAATAGAACATAATAGAAAGAGAAAAGGCACTATAACAGAGAGAGGTTGGGAAAGACTTCCTGTAAAAAGTGAGATTTTAGTCAGGACTTTAAAAAGAAGCTAGGAAGGTCAGTACTCAGAGTGGAAGAGGGAGAACATTCCGGGTAGGGAAGACAGCCAGAGAAAATGACCAAAATTGAAAAATGGAGTGTCTTGTTGGTAGAACAACCAGGAGGTCAGTATCACTGGATCTAAGTGTGAGTGTCAAGGGAATAAGGTGGAAGGTAGGAGAGGGCTAGGTTATGAAGGACTTTGAGTGCCAAACAGAAGATTTGTTACTTTCTCCTGGAGGCAATAGGGAGCCCCCGGAGCTTACTGATGGTGATGGGGAGGGGTGACATGATCAGATCTGCAGTTTAAGAAAACCATGGTTGAATAGAGGATGGATTAGAGTGGGAAGATACTGGAAGCAAGTGGACCCTCCAGTAGGCTATTGCAGTAGTCCAGGTGATAAAAGCCTGCACTAGAGTGTTGGCTGTCAGAGGAGAGAAGGGAGTGTATTTGAGAGATACTGCAAAAGTGAAGTTGCAAGAGCTTGGACTGGGGTGGAGGTGGGGGGAACAGGGTGAGGAATCCAGGATAACTCCTAGGTTGCAAGCCTAAGGGGCTAAGAAGATAGGATTGCTCCCCAAAGGGTAATGAAGGTTTAGGGAGATCAATATTAAATTCTGTTTTGCCTTATTGACTTTAAGATATTCATTGGTCATCCAGTTTAAGGTGTCTGAAAGGCATTTGGAGATGTGAGTTTGGAAGTCCGCAGAGTTTCAGATAGGAAAGGTAGACTTGGGATTCATCAGCATAGAGATGGTAAATTAAATGAGAGCTGATGAGATCACCAACTAGTATAAGAGAGAAGAGGCCCCAGGACAGAAGTTAAAGACTGTGATCTAGAGGATGATTCAGCAAAGGAAACAGAGAAGTAACTGTCAGATAAGTAGGATGAGAACTACGAGAGAGTGGTGTCCCAAAAACCTAGAGAAAAAAGTATCTAAAAGGAATTATTGGCAGTGTCAAAGGCATATACAAGTCAAGAAGAATGAGGATTGAGAAAAGGCCATTGGATTTGGCACTAAGGGATCATTAGTAACTTTGCAAAGAGCAGTTTTGCTAGAATGATAAGATCAGGAGCCACACTGAAAGGGGTTAAAAAGAGAGTAGGAGGAGAGGAAGCGAGAGAAACTTATCAGAGATGGCCCCTTCAAGGAGTTTAGCTACAGAAAACAAAAAGGATGATAGTTATCAGGGATAGAAGGATCAAATGGGAGATTTTTCAGAATAGAGGAGACATGGGCATGTTTGTAGGCAGTAGGAAATGATCTCGTAGGCAGAAAGACTGAAAATAAGTGGAATGAACAGGGCAAGGGTGTGGGGGGCACCAGTCTCTGGGAGGAGATGTAATGGGATCACTTGAACAAGTAGAGGGGTTAAGCCTTGCCAAGAGGTAAGGCCACTTCATTTGATACAGGGATGAAGGAGAAGAGAGTGGCATAAGGCACCTGAGTGATAGGAGATGAAAAAGAGAGAGTCTCTGTGATTCCACTATTACCTTTTTTTTTTTAAACCAACTTAGTCTTTAAAACAAGACCTATAATATCTTCAGGTCGATACTTGGGAGTAATGAGTAGGTTAGCTAGTTTGGAAGGGAAGAATTTGTCCCTGTGTTGTCCCTTCAGTGGTCCGTGTTGAGGTATAATTGAACAGTACTGCAGGATGATGTAAGTAAGGGAGAAAAAGACCAATTATCTTAGTGATCATTTCTTTTTTGTGTGTACCATTACTTTTATGGAGGTCAGGTTGACTTAAGGGCAAAACTTGGATTTAATGAGAAATTTAAAACAAAAACAAAACCTGATTAACCTTTTGTTTTCCCTCCCACCCCAGGTGAAATTCGAGAGCAGAATGGTGATAGTCTTGTCCATGCTGCCATTGTAGCCGAGGGGGCTACCTCAGGAAGTGCAGAGGCAAATGCATTTAGTGTCCTTCAGCATGTCCTTGGTGCAGGGCCTCATGTTAAGAGAGGCAGCAATGCCAGCAGCCAGCTGCATCAGGCTGTAGCCAAGGGAACAAACCAACCATTTGATGTTAGTATAAACATTTGTTACCTTTATTTTATTTTCAAAGATTCAGTATTATAATATAGTTCTGAGAAAAGGCTTGAAAAATTATTAAGATTTAAGACATCTTAGGGAATCTTTTTAGAAACTGAAAAAATAACCATGCTTAATTTGACATACCTCTCTCCTTTCCCATCTCTCTGATGTAAAATCTATTCCAGATACTCTAATGCAAAAGAAAAAAATACTTAGAATTATCAGAAATTCAAACTGAATGCTAAACATTCATTTCTTGGATTTTTCTTCCCCCTTGAGCTAAACTTTTTTTAACTTAAAGGTTTAGGACCCCTTTATCCAGCTTTGTCTAACTTAGGTTTCTTTCTGTCTTTCGTTGTTTCCGCTTCTAACTCTGTCACCCCTTCTCATCTGGTGCATGCTATTCTAGCTCCCTGTTTCTGGGGTGAAATGAGAATGACACATAGTTACTTCTTTAACACAGTTCCATTTTTTGACAAGGATCAAATTGCTAAAATTTCCTAGAGCCAAGAATTCAAAATACATCTTTCTCCTAAAAAGAAAATGCAATTCCATTTATGATTGTAAAGAGCCAGTTGTACCTTTCAAAGATAATCATTCAGTCCTTTCCTTAGAGCTCTTTTTAGGCCCACTCTCTATAATATAAAGTATAAGTAACAGTAAAAGAACATTATTATTCTTGTTGACTTAGCAAATCTTTGATTAGTTGATACTCTGATAGCACTTAATTACAAGTGTTTTACTTTATTTCTCTATCCCATAGAACCAGGAAGTAAAGCTATTTTTTTTAATGTATACTTCATTGAGGGGTGTTTTTTTTGCATCATAATCTTCCTACTATTTTTTTCATCTTTCCTATGCCCACTGACTCTATTGAGCGTTAATAATAGCCTATTCTTAGGTCAAACTGAATGTTTCTTACTAAAACATCAGTTCGATAGTTCTGGTTCAGCATTTGACCAATTGGTTAGGTAGATGTTGAGACAAATGCTACATTGAGCTATCTGAAGGTTATGTGTGCATGTTTATATGAGTTTTACATGAGAAAGTGCTTAAGGATTTGTGATAAAGAAGTTTCACTTATGGAAGCTTTAACCACTACAGCTTGGAATAATGCAGTAAGACCCTATTTAGCTGAGTATCAGATTTTAGAGCACTTAAAAGTAATCAAAAGATGCCTCTGAGGAGCAAAAAAGCTTTCACAAATTTTGTGCATTCTAATTTCTTGGGGGCTTAAAGCCACCCTCAGGCCATCATCTAGACAATTTTGCATAAAGGTAGTACATAAGAATCTGAGAAAGTAACAGCCATCAACCTAGGAAATAGACTTAAAGAACAACATTCTGGAGCCACTCGCCATAGGCCCCTAAAATCTCAGTAATAGATCTAGTACATTCCTGTCTAGTGTGTATGTTATGTTAATTTATATTCACATTGATGACAGTCATCAAGAGAAGAGTAAAGCTTTTTATATAAGAAACCCAATAAAGTCCTCCAGTGCCTTAGTTCTTATCTGTTATTAGGAAGAGCATAAGCTCTGAGTGTTCTTGCCACTAGAATAGCTTTGAGTATGAATGAGTACAGATTATAAGTCTGTTGCATGAGGCCCAGCCCAGTTCAGTTCACTGAGATAACTAGAGTGGCTAAAGGATGATGTTTTTAGTGGGGCTACAACAGTTTGAAAACATCTGCCAAAAATAGTAAAGGAATTACAATTGGTGAGTCATGGTAAAAAGTACAAGTACAACTTCCCAGTTTTCTTATGCTTTGCTTAGTAATTATAAGTACTGAAATAATAAGCATAAGAAAACTGGGAAGTTTTAATAATAATACATATTAGAAAGATTTCCATCAAAAAGTTATAACAAAAGTAAACCACCTAGAACTTAAAAGAGGAATGAGGACATTTTACCAGGGAAAAACAGGAAAGGAAATAGTTTTTACAGCTATGGATAGGGAGAGGTTTTGACCAAATGAGGAATATGAAGGATCACAAAAGATTAAAATGAACAATTTTTAACATTAAAAGATTTTGAACAAATAAAATCATTGCAGTTAGAACTAGAGGGAGGGAGATTGAATTTTGAAAAAAAAATTTCGACAAATTTCAGATGTCCAAGATACATAGGGTGGTGTCAAATTTTGTGTAGTGAAGATCACTCAGTATAGTGGTGTGTGTGTGTGTGTGTATGTGAGTGTGTGTAGTGGATGCATATATGTGTCTTTCTGTGTGTATGTATGTAAACAAGAACAAATTTTTCGATAGAGAAATGGTCTGAGGATATGCATAGATTGTTCTTAAAGGAAAAATGGTAACCTATCAACAACCATATTTTTTAAATGCTTCAAATGACTCATAAGAGAAATTCAATTAAAACCACTCTGGAGTTTCACTTCACACCCATTAGACTGGGAAAGATGACATTGTTGGGAGGTTGTAAGAGTACAGGCATACTCATGCTCTGTTGGTGAAACTGTGAAGTTATCCAACAACTCTTGAAAGCCATCTGAAACAATGTTGCAAAATCATTAAATTCTAAAGCCCTGTAACCTACTAGACTTAAATCCTGAGGAGATCAATGAAGAAAGGACCCAAACATACAAAAATATTTATGGCATCGTTATTTATTGTAGAAAAAAACTGGAAACAAAGTGGTTGCCTATCAACTGGGGACAAATTATGCTATGTAAATTGATGGAATATTATTTTGTCATAAGAAATAATGAAAGGAAAAAATTCAGAGAAACTTAGGCGGCTTTATATGAACTGCTGGAAAAAGAAGTGAGCAGAATCATAACAGTTTATGTGAAGACTACAACAGTGTGAAAGACTTAAGAACCAGTGCAATCGTGCAGTCGTGACTACAGAAAACTGATGTTGAAATATGCTTCCCACCTCTTTTTAAAGAGTTAGTGCAGAATGAGACAACAATGTGTGGATTTTTGCTGCATGATTATATTTGTTACAGACAAGGATTTTTATTCTGTGTTAGGAAAGAAGAAAGGAGAGGGATAGTAATATTAAAATAGAGGAGGAAAAGATGGTTAATGAATGAAGCACTTTTTTTAAAAAGTAAGCAGAAGAAAGTTTAGAAAGGAATACAGACACAGTGTTGGGACTACAATGTGAGGTTAATATCTTTTAAGAAAGGGGGGGGAATTGTATTATCTCAGTATGTGGGATAATGAAGTATTTTGCTTAGAAAGGAAGACACTAGTCTTTGGCCATCCTTAGGTATATCTTTTCCCCATATCTTATTTTGAATTTTATTACTATGTTTAGTAAAGATGAATTGTTTTTCAGGTTTCAGCCTTTAATGCAAATTATTCTGATTCTGGACTCTTTGGAATTTATACTATATCTCAGGCTGCAGTTGCTGAAGATGTAAGTTTTAACCACCACCACCCCTGGAATTTTTTAAATTAAAATATAAAATGTTTGAATACTGTAATTAATCACATATTTAAAGTTTGCATATTTATAAATATTTATTATAATAATAGCAGCTAGCATTTATATAGCACTTTAAGGTTTGCAAAGCACTTTACATACATTCATTTGATGCTCACCCTGTGAGGTAGGTGCTAATGTTATCATTTTAAGGAGGAGAAAACAACTGAGAGAAGTTAAAAGACTTTCTCAGGATCATACAGGTAGTGATTCTGAGGCAGGATTTTAACTCAGATCTTCCAGCATTCTATCCACTTCCCCACCTAATTGCCTAAATATAAACTTTTTAAAAGAAAAAGGAGAGGACTAATATCTCCCTTAACCATTATCGTCATCCATGTAAGTAATTGGTAAAAGTGTCAAAAGGTATAACACCCTGTGGTACATTATGAGATCTCCTTCCAGGTGGATAAATTTAGAGGGTAGAGAAAAAGATAACCTGCTATCATATATCTGCCAACTGTTATCTTTCAAACCACATTGCTCCACCTTGCCAATGGATATAAGAATGTCAGATGCCTTGCTGAAATCAAAATAGATTATATTTTATAAAATTCCCCTGATCTACCAGCCTGGTATTCCTATAAAAATGAAATCAGCAAAAACTGAATTTTTCTAATATTTATACAAAATTAGATTCAAGGTCTGAGAAGTTGGTATTCTTTTCATGAATATCTTTTATATATCTTCAATTCAAACATTTCTAAAGATGGAGCTCACAGTCCCACAGTATGGTCCATTTCATTTTTTGACAGCCTTCTTTACTAGAAAGCTCTTTATACTGAGCTAAAATCCACCTTGGTATAACTTCTACCACTTCTTTTTTTAATGTTATAAAAAGCCATGGTAGTATGTATGTAATCTGTTTTCCACATGACACCCTTGAAAGCAACTTACTGTATCCCGGGATTTTTTCCTATAAATTGAATGTCTGTAGTTGCTTCAACCATTCTCCTTGTCATACTTTCAAAACCCTTCACGGTCCTTATCCCTTTTTACCTATATGTACTTTAGTTTATCAGTGGCTTACCGCAAAATTCAGTGTTTAGAACTTAACATAGTACCAAAGATGTGATCCAATTAAGACAAAGCTCATATAGACTGTATGTGTCCCTTGCTCTGAACCATTTAATAGTCTGTTCTTTGTGTATGTATGTCCTGAGAATTTAGAACAGGTTATTAAATAGAAGGTTTGCAATAATTTAAAAAAAAGAAGCAGCCAATAGTGAGTCACTAAAGATTTTCAAGCAAGGGAGAGACTTGAACAGATATGTTTAAGAAAGGCAGCTGTATATATGCAACTGGTAATCCTCTGTATGGAGAAGGTATGATAATTGCCAAGAGAAATAGTGAAGAGCCATAGGAGACATAAAAGGAACAGTTAAATGCAGAAGGAAAATCAGGAGCATTATGGTATCCCTGAAGCCAAGGGAAGAGAGAATGTCCCAACAAGAGGTGGTGGCCATGTAAAGAGATCAAGAGGATGAGTATAGCCACTAAATTTGGCAATGAGGAAATCACAGGTAACCTTTAGAGAATAGTTTTATTAGAGTGGGGAAAGGAGAGGGAAACAAGCATTTATTAACTATGCCTATATGTGCCAGATACTGTGCTAAGCACTTTTATAAATATTATTTCATTTGATCCTCACAACCCTGGGAGGGTGTTATTATTACCATTTTACAGTTAAGGAAATTGATGCAGCTACAAGTTGTGACTTGCCCAGGGTCACACAGCTAGTAGTATCTAAGGCCAGATTTAAACTCTGGTCTTCCTGATTCTAGGCTCAATGCTTTATCCACTGTACCACCTTAGCCCTAGAGTGGTAGGGATGGGATAACCAGTTGCATTGAGGTTGAAAAGAAAGTGGATAATGAAGAAATAGGCGTGAGCAGAACCCAAGAGTGATTTAGATGAAATGTCCGAGGGAAGTATTGTACTTTTACCTCCTCTCTTAAACCCTGAAGTAAGCCTAAAGCCCCCAAACTCCATGTCTTGAGCTTCACCTTGGCCCTTCTAGTTTTCTACAACTAAAAAGTGTGAGAGACAAAAGGCAGCTGAAAGCTATAGGAGTCCAAAAACCTCCAGCCCAAGGAAAAAGGCCTCAATCCCTCAAAAAAGTATCCTATCTTTTGAGTTCTAATTTTACAGTCTCTTCATTTCTTTACTCAAATAATGGAAAGCTCATGTTCTCCACCCAATGTTCTCTTACCTCTAGTTGGCCTTTCAATCAGCACTTTTCATTCTGTGCTAAGCCCCTTACACTTTCCACCATTGTGTGTCCTTAATGTTTTCTAAGACTCTTCCGTGAAGGGAGGAAGGAGGTCAATGTATTACAATAGGAAGACTATAAAATGGTCCAGTGGGAAGTTTGGTTTGGTTGTTTTTTGAAGGAGATTTTGGAGCTTTTCAGTGTAAATTTCCATAATATTGTCCTCTAAACAGCTCTCTACTGGGGCAGCTAGGTGGTGCACTGGATAGAGCACCAGCCCTGGATTCAGAAGGACCTGAGTTCAAATCCGGCCTCCAACACATAACACTTACTGGCTGTGTGACCCTGGGCAAGTCACTTAACCCCATTGCCTAGCCAAAAAAAAAATGCAAATTAAACAGCTCTCTACTACCAAATTTGGCCAAAGTTATATTGTGATCTGGAAGTCCAGTATAGTTGAGTTTTGACAAAACTGGAGAAAATGGCACTGAAAGTTACTGATTAAATTTACTTTTCTGTCTAGGTTATCAAGGCTGCTTACAACCAGGTAAAAGCAGTTGCTCATGGTAACCTTCTGAAGCAGATGTCATAACAGCTAAGTAAGTATAAAATGTGTGTGTGTGTGTGTGTGTGTGTGTGTGTGTGTGTGTGTGTGTGTGTGTGTGTGTGTGTGTGTGATGCTTTTGCTCTTTAGGTGAGGAAAAATCAGTTCAGTTGAGCAAAGTCTAATATTTTGCCATTCATAGGAAATTAGAAATGCTACCTTGATTCAGGTTAGCACTGAGCCACAATAGATCCCAGTACAGAGTTTTAAATTTCTGGCACACCATTTTAAATCTTCCCTCTTTTTTCTGCATGTAAAATGTTTTGTTGTTCTTTAAAGGGGTTCAGAAGTTTGTTTGGAATCCAGCTGCACACCTTTTAATCTGACATTTCTCTCAGCTTCACTTAGCAATACCTCCATTAAATTAGAAAACCTTTTTAATTTCACAGGAAAAAATCCAGTTTTGAGAATACAGTTTTTACCTTTATGTAAATTTGACTTTACTAAAGACTTAAGAAATCCACATTCCAAAAAAAAAATCACCTATGTTAACTTTACTATACAGTACTGTGTACTCTATGTCTCTACTTTTGCCCCTGGCTTAGCAACCCCCTCACCCTTCCACCCCCTCAAAAAAATCCTCCAGTTGAAAGCAGAAGAACCCCCATCACCATTGGCTCCAGAGCTTGGCTTGAGACCTTTGTTCAGCTTCATCCACCTGCCCTTGTGTCTTCCATCCTTAGATACCACATGGTTGTCCCCAGCCCCCAAGTTTGCCTGTCCATGTCTGTGTCCAGCCCCATATGTCTTCCTTGTGTTCCTCCTCCCGCTTTTGCTTCTCTGTCCCAGTCCACCATATGTCCTTGAACGGTGTGCTCCATCCACAGGGATGTCTACCTTCTCTCCCGAGGGCCCCCCCCCATTCCTGCCTCCCTGTGTTTCCCATGTCTGTGGGCAAATTTGCATTATGTGAAAATTGATTTATGTAGAGGTCTGTAATAGTAAAGCAAGAACTGTCTGTAGTTAACATCTTTAGTCTGTGGTTCAAAATTATCCTTATATATACACACCCTTCTCATTAGAAATATCCTTTTGGCTGCAAGGTCCTCCAGATCGGCTGTTTACTATGAGCAATTTCTGAGCTCAGACACTCTCATCAGCTTTTTTCAGAGAAATTTTCTAACATCTTCCCCTCCATTCCCAATATCATTCTCATATTTCTAGGTTAACATATTTACTGTTTGAAAGTGACCTATTCCTAGGAACCAAATTGAGATTAACTTTGAGAGACCTTGCATCTTTTTTTCATCAGTTTTGTTAATAGCAGTTTGAGGAATTAGGGTAGATTTTAGATAAAAAATTTAAGAAGTGTGTATGATCTTAGGATTCAGAGTTTCAGTGCTAGATAGAATTGGTTAATATTAAGCACTTCAGCTACAAATGTGAAAAGATAGACAGTCCTTGCAACAGGGAGCTTACAATCTAACCCTGGGGCCATTTAGTTCAACTCTTGCCTCCCAGTAGTGTTAATTACCTTTTAACCATTTAACACTTATGTTAATAACTTAATGATAACTGGGTATACTGTGTTACTAGAATCTAGGAAATCACCATATAATTTAATCATTCATACCTCGCTGGTGTCAAAACTTAACACTGAACAGTCCCTTGAGTTTGTACAACATACTTTATTAAATGACCCAAGAGCTGATTCACTACACCTTTACACAACTGCACAGTCAATGAAACCATCAGTAAAACTGAAGTATTTGACCTTTAAAGAAATAAATTTAGGTTTTAAATGCTGTTTGCCTTTTTTTAAATATAATTTTAGTGTCGTACAAGCCTTTATAAGTTCACAGCAGAACACAAAAAACTCAGTTACCAGTTTTGAAAAATGATTGGGGGTTTTTTTGTGTATGTTGTCATGTTTAGTCTTTCTATAGCAAGCAAAAAAAAGTGTAATCATTGCAGAGAAAAAGAATTATATAATATATTAACTGGTACACTCAACCACATTCTTTGCTCTGGCCCTCAATCAAACATATATCCAGCATCAACCAAAAAAAGTAAAATTTGCTGAACCAAGGAAATTTTTTTTGTTTATTATTAGTGTACTGTGAATTGTACATATAGCAGTTATAGAGGCTTTTTGATTTAGTAAAATTTGTTTAAAAACCAATTCCTTTCCCCTCAAAAAAAAAAAAAACACATTGGGGACCTTCTGTTAGAACAAAGAATCACAAAATCTCAGGTACCTCCATCTATATCCACCCATACCTGAAACAGAATCCTCTTTACAACCTACTTGACGAGCAGTTTATCTAGCTTTTGCTTGAAAACTTCCATTAGGGAACCCATAAGAAAATAGCTTAACTAAATAAGGTTTTATCTGCAGTTCAGAGTTTTAAGTGTATCCAAGCAAGTATTACATAATAGTTTTTATGGAATACAATTAAATTTAATAGCTATTAGTATACTAGATTTTGTGTACAGTAGTTTTGAAAACTAATAGTAATAAATACTAGATATATTAAGAAAATAGACTACAAAACTGTGGTCATTTAAGATTTTGAAGGCATTGTGCATACAACTATAGGAGTACTTTCTAACTAACTTTTAGTTATTTAGAATACACCTTAATGTTTACATGTTGAAAAATCTATTACTTAAATTCTTCATAATGAATATTTTCTTGCCCAGAAACAAACTAAAAGCTGGGTACCTGATGTTAATCGAGTCTTCAGAGGGATTTCTGGATGAAATTGGGTCCCAGGCCCTGGCATCTGGTTCATATGTCACACCATCATCTGTTCTTCAAACAATTGACTCTGTGGCTACTGCTGATGTTGTAACAGTACGTAAAATAAACCACTTCATAATGTTGTAATGTAATTATTTATACTAGAGCTTTCATGATTTTATACACAAGTATGATTTATCTTTTTCACCTATGTAAAAAAGGAACTGTTTTTAAGGGTTCCTTTTGGTTGCAGATATTTTAGTTTCTTGGTATATTTTCAACTGATCTGGTTCACAAATTGGATCAATACCTTTCTTGTCAAATAATTGCTCCTACAACCAATATTAAGAGTTTGGATATGTAATAATCCAATCTGTTATATTCAGACTCTGTGTGTGTGTACACACCAAGTAGAGGGGTAGCTAGATGGCACAGAGGATTGAGTGCTGGGCCTGAATTCAGCAAGACCCAAGTTCAAATCTAGCCTCGGATACTTGCTAACTGTGCTTATTTACCCTATGTGTGACACCCTGAGCAAGTCATCTTACCTCTATTTGCCTTACTTTCCATAATGGTAAAATGGGGATTATAATAGCATCTACCTCCTACAGTTGTTGTGAGGATAAAAGTGAAATAATATTTGCAAAGCACACTGCCTGGCACTAGTAGACACTGTATAAATATTAGCTATTATATTATTATGCTAGGTTCAAAATGTCAGTTATTTAGTTTTTTTACTCTAATCTGAAGAACTGGTATCAGAAAATTATTGGCCATAAGTCTTCAATTTCCAAATTCTTAAAGCAGCAGGTACCTCTCTAAGATGTTGCAAAGAAAGTGCTGATCTGCATTGAAGCTCTCTACACTAATTAAAGAGTTTCCGCTCTTTAAAAAACAAAATGTTTTAAGTAGTGATATATGTTTCATTATTTCTTTCAACTTTTCAGGCAGCAAAGAAATTTGTTTCTGGCAAGAAGTCAATGGCAGCAAGTGGAAATCTGGCCAATACCCCATTCCTTGATGAATTAGAAAAATGAAGCACCTATAATGGAAGAAAAAAAAACTTTCTCGACACAAACTGACAGAATAGCGCTTGGTGAAAGATCAGAATTTATTAACACTTCCATCTTTTTATTTCTGAACTGAAAAATGGCAAAACAGAAATGTAGACAAATTTCACCTGGTCTGATGTAAAGCCAATAAAACATTTTATTTAAAATGCTTTTGCTAATTTTTTTCCTGAATTTTTCTTAGTCTGTTAAGTGTTTATTGAATACCTACTCCATTGTATGCTAAGGAGGGGTAGGGAAGGTTAGTTATTTTTTGCTTGAGTAAAAGTGCATAATAAATTTACATAAAGGTTACTCAGATTTCAGACTATCAGGCACTGTTCATAAAAACAAAAGTAGATCAGTGAAACAGATTATTAGATAAGCAAAAAACAGGAATAAAAATAGCAGCCCCCCTATTCAGTGAACCCATGAATATAAATTACTGTTTAAAGGACTCCTTTATTATATTTATTATACAAGGACTGTCAAGAAAACTAGAAAGTAATAGGAAAGGAATTAGATTTAGTCCAACATTTTACTCCTTCCCTTAATATAAAAGGTTACACCATTTAAAAAGATAACTAATTCAAGTATCTTTAAGTGCAAACCATAAATTATCATAAGAAAATATGACAATTGTTTCTCCTTGCACCATACAGACTGGCAAAGGTGGAAAGAGTGAAGATAAAATAGGTACAATCTGATACACTTGGTGGAGCTGTGAAGTAGCTCAGTCATTGTGACTTTCAATTTGGAAAACTCCCTAAAGTAAATGGTCACAGAAACAAAGGGGTTTTTGTAGTACCAAAGAACTGGAAACAAAGCTGGTGTTGGAAGAATGGCTGAAAAATTAAAGAAATAATTGTGCAGTAAAAAATAACAAATGAGAAAATCAGAAACCAGAGATGTATATGAAAAAGCAGAACCAAGAAAACTATATAGTTGAACTTTAAGTTACTAAAATATCAATGAAACTTCCAGAAAAGAAATAATGAAACAAAATTTCCCTCACTCTCCACCACCATGGCAAGGAGTTAGAGGACTACTTAGCTCAGAACACTGAATGTGCTGTCAGATAACACTGTTTTTTCTTTCTCAAAAGAAATGAGGATGGGGGAAATAACTGATAAAAAATATATATTTTTGAAAAAAATTTGGTAGAGCTAACTGGATATAGTCAATTCAATATTTCAGAATTACTAGAATGACCAATGATAACTTAAATAATTCATAGAGGTAGTAGTTATCATTTAGGTAAAATTAAATGATTGGATTTCTCCATGGTAGGTACATTTAAGAAAGATTGCATAAACTGAATGTAAATCAAAGTCTTGTTTTCTAAACAATTTAGGTTACAGCTCATTTTCAGCTTTCACCAGGTCTACTCTCTGAAGGAGTAATCCATAAACCAACACTTAAATACGGTAGATCATACAATCTAAGAGAACCCTTTTGAAAGTAATAACTTTCTTAGAAATGAGTAAATGATCATCCTAGAAGTTATCTGTTTTATATATCAAAGTGTGGGGTAATTATATTCTATATACATTGACCTGAGCCAAAGTCTATTCCTTTTACCTTAAGAGATTGAAGATCAATGTTTTGATATCCTCACAATTCATTCTACCACTGAAATCCCATAGCATCATATTCATATGCACTGATTCCTTCTCTCTAGGATGGGATCAAAGTACACATAGTATTCTGGATTGTGTTGCTCTTTTGGGAATGGAAAAGCTAGTTATGTTTCGATACCACCTAAAAAAATCACGAAGGCTTCTGGATTACAACTACTTTCTGCACACTCAGCTGGGAGGAATGCATCCCTTTATAAAATAAATCTATATATAATAATGTGCTAAAATTAAACATTTAGCACTTCAATGGCATGGAAAATTAAACATCTGATCCTGAATTAAATCAACTTCCTATGCAGTAAAATATCGGTCCTTTTCCTGCTGAACATAGGCACAATCTTCAAGCCAAAAAGCATCTGATGTAGAAGAGGAAGTAGAAGAAAGGTCACTGTCTTGTTTTACCATTGTCCAGTATGGGGAAGGTGCTCTAAAGTCTTTTGGAACATTCATATTCTGTTCATCAGAGTTCTTATGAATCATAACATCACATCCAATGTCTTCTCCTACAGTAAATATATGATTCTTTTTTTTATATCCATGCCACTCTGTGGAGATTGATGACAGCTTCCCTGGAGAATGATGCCGAAATGATTGTGGAGACTTATAGTATTTAAATCGTTCATCTAACTGTACATCTTCATCATCCTCACTACTAGAGGAAGATGTATCTTCCTCCTGCTCATATTTCCTTGATGTGCTAAAATAGGAAGAATAAGTAATGAAATGGATCTTAAAATTTGCAGTATTGGGGCAGCTAGGTGGCACAGTGGATAAAGCTCCAGACTTGGAGTCAGAAGAACCTGAGTTCAAATCCAGCGTCAGACACTTGACATGTCCTAGCTGTGTGACCCTGGACAAGTCACCTAACCCCAATTGCCTTGCCAATAAATAAATAAATAAATGATTAAAAAAAGATATTTGCAGTATTTTTAGAATTCTTAAATTAATTGTCTTACAATCTGCATTAATCTTCCTTTAAAAAAATTTAGGTAAACTTTAACCTTTTCTATACCTGGACTTGACTTTAAAATACCTTGCACTATTCATAAGAACTATGTTAAAATTAAACTCAGGCTTTTTCTATGAGTGATAGTAAGAACTAGAGGTCAAGGCTTTATTGTTCTTACTACATCTAGTTCAGTTCCTAAAGGACTATGGAGTCCACATCTGCTACCACATTTCTGGCCTCTTTTGACTTCTATCTAGAGACAAAGTAAAGGTGAAATGATATCACAAAGCAACTGCATCTTTTGGGGGTTCAAATGAAGTGTTTATGAGTACCTTCAAAATGGTAGAGTTCTATTTGTAGTAATGATAGAAAGTCATTGCTTCTCTTCATATCTACTACTTAATGGAATTAAATATTCAGTCTTGTGTTTCTATATATTGCTTTGTGGTTCTTTTACCACTTTCCATCCAAGGGTCCTCTTGCTGCTCACTTAAATACATTTTTTTTTCTCCTAAGGACCTCCAACAACTTTTCTGTAACTTGCCTTTATTTGTTTTCTCTTCATTTGAAGGACAGTTTTATGCCTTTCCTCATGACATTTGTACCTCTCCTAATTCTCTCTCTCTCTCTCTCTCTCTCTCTCTCTCTCTCTCTCTCTCTCTCTCTCTCTCTCTCTCTCTCTCTCTCTCTCTCTCTCTCTCTCTCTCTCTCACACACACACACACACACACACACACACACTCACACACACACACACACACACACACACACTCACACACACACACACGGGGCTGACTATCCACTTACTCACATGTAGTCTTGTTACCACCCAGATGGGTAAACATATATCTGTGAAAAGTGAACTCCAGTGTGTTGTTTCCAAACTATGATATAATATACTGCCATACTGACATTTCATGGAGTGGCTATTATAATCACTAACTTACTAGTTCTCAGGTCACTGCCAACTTGATTTGTTCATAAGGATTTAATTACTCTGCACGATAAATTTACCAACTTTTAACTATATGCAAAAGGAACAAAATTGTTCTTATTTATGGCTAAGTCTTACTGTTGAGTTTAGACCCAGCTTTATAATACAAAACTCAGAAGACCTTAGAACCTACACATTCACAAGCTCATCCTATTCTCTCTAGTCCCAACATGTTCAGATGATTGCATTGGTTTAAATTAATGAGCATAGGTCATTTCTCATTCTTAACAAAATGTGTACTTGTCAATAGCCTTATAGACAAGCAGCAGCATGATACAGAGAAAATACACTGGCCTTGGAAATCAAAAGACCTAGGTTCATATCCCAGCTCCAAAACTAGCAGCGTGACTACAGGCTCTTAACTTTCTTGACCCTCAAGGTCCCCTTATCTGTAAAAGGAAGGAGATATACCACTGTCAAATAGGGTTGGTGTGAGGTGTCCCATAAGCCTTAAAGCACTATAAAGTATGAGTTGTACATGACTGCTAGATTTAATAGCAACATAAAATAGGAATAGCTAGGGAAAATTAGGAAGAAAGGTTTTTTGATTAGTGAAATCAGGGAAGTACTTGAATGATTTGAATCTGTTGTGGGGATAATGCATTTTCGTAATACATAATCCTGCATACCAGAACAATAATTTTAGAAATATGTTTCAAAACTCAGCAAATCCTAATTATCACCAATATCTTTTCTACCCATCTGATCCACTCTACCTTTAAACATGAATCACATTTTATCTACATAAATATTTTTCACCATATAATAAATTTATATCAAAATAGAAAATGTTAAAAAAAAATAACCACTTACTGAGCTATTACTACTGCAGGCTTAGTCTCAGGGATTAAGTCATCTATGTTTTGCCATTCTGGTGGTATGTCAATAAAATCTCGGTAAACTCTGATTTGGAGTATTGCACCTATGGGGATATGGTGCAAAAGCTGTAAAAACTCTCGAAGTGTGTATCCTAACACATTTGAATGGCCGACTGAAATCAGAACATCACCTGAAAAAAAAAGTTGAAAACCGCCCCCTCAGCAATTTAGTTAACAGTTTAAAGCATACCAAACCAATTTGAAACCCTACCATTACCTCTAGCTATTGTCATATCTTTGCTCCATTTCAAAGCCCAACTTCTAGAAATAGCTGTAGTCCTATTGCCTCCATTTCTCATTTCATTTCTCAATCCATGGCAATCTGACTTCTGACTTTGTTGTTCAACTGAAATTGCTTTCAAAGTTATTAATAATCTCTTTCAAATACATTTTTATTCTAACTTGAACACATAAAATGGACATGTCCATATGTACAATAGTGCAGAAAAAGAGGGCTGTTTATGAAACCAAATCTTTTGTGTACAGCTTTTCTTTTTAAACATATAATAAATTCAACATGCAACTTTTAAAGCTTTCCTGCTTATCTGTAGTTCTTTCTGGTCTTCTGTGTATTTAAAAATGTTTCAATAACCTCTCTCGGGAGGGTGTGGGCTGCCTAGGCCCTCTCTTCCCATCCCAGTCTACCCCCAGCCAGGGAAAAAAACAAAATAAAAATAAAACCCTTTGAACAAATATGCAGTCACGCAAAATAAATTCCCACCTACAATGGCCATATTGGAAAATGTATTTCTTACTCTGCTTGATTCATCATCTCTCTCCCTCAGGATATGGGTACCATGTTTCATCACTGATCCTCTGGAATACTGGTTGGATTCTAATTCTTAAGCCTTTCAAAGTTGTTTGTCTTTACAATGTTGTAGTCACTGTTCAGTCTGTATCAATTCATACAAGTCTTCCTAGATTTCTCTGAAAATGATCCTTTTTTCTTGTCTTATAGCATAATAATAATATTTGAAGAATTAAGAGATGGCTTTTTTTTCTTAATCCTCATTCTTCTAGACCTCTCTGCAGCATCTGACATTACTGACCATCCTCTCCCAGATTTTCTTAACAATTTTTATACCTTTCTAGGTAGTCTACTCCAGGGGCGGGGAACCTGCAGCCTCAAGGCCACATGTGGCCTTCTAGGTCCTTAAGCACAGCCTTTCGACTGAGTCCAAATTTTACAGAACAAATCCTTTTATTAAGGGGATTTATTCTGTGAAGTCTGGATTCAGTCAAAGGGCTGTACTCGAGGACCTAGAAAGACACATGTGGCCTTGAGGCTGCAGGTTCCCCTCCCCTGGACTACAGGAAACATTTGTAATATCATCCTTATAGAAATCCATACCACTACCAAAGGTCATAGTTTTTATTTTTACTCTGTATAGTAAGACAGGATTGTATCTTTCAATGATGCCAAGTTCTTTCCTGAAAGAAAATCCCATCCTTTTTTTTTTTTTTTAAAGTACCAGTGATGCTATGTGGCTTCAAATCAAAACTGTGGGTCACTTAAAAGCAAGGAAGAGATCCATGATAGACATATATAGGAAGTAGTGTATAACAAACAAGGAATTGCATACACAATTGTATACACAAAAGATATCATCCAAGAGATGTATGACTGATCATTTAATAAGAGTCAAGGGTAAGATATGGAATAAGTGGGTACTGTTTTGTACTCCTCTGGAGTATTTATAGGCGGAAATGGACAAGAGTTGGCTGAAATGCCCACAAACAGAGGAGATAACAGATCCACCAAACAATTAAATTAGTACTCCTGTCATTTGAAAAGAATAGCAGGCTGGCAAGAAACCTTATATTCTCCAAGTCATTTTAATTGATTAAAACCTCGTGTTAAGAGTTAGCATTAAGGCTCGACAGTCCTTAATAAGTTCTAAAGGCAAGCAATAATTAACAGGAATTTCTTATAGTAAATTAACCTTGTTTAAAGTAATTAATCAAATTCAATGGAAATGAACCATAACTATAAAAGATTAAATGCTCAGAAATCAGAATCAAGTTTCTGGTGCTAAGAAATGATAGGTTTTGAGGGCTCTGGATCAAAAGCTAGGCATATCATCTAGAAACTCAACATTTTTTGAGAACGAAAATATTATGCCAGGTGCTAAGATCTTAGAATTATTTATTGGCACTGAGAATTAAAAGGATAAATTACAGGTACAGTTCAAAACCCACTGACTGAGAATAATGCAACTGGCTTATTATAAGAGGTTTGGACCCTTTCGTTTTTTTTTTCAAGAATAACTTTAAATTCTGTGAAACCCCTGAAACTATACTGATGCTACCAGTTAATTGTTCTTGGTTTCCATTTTACATTAACAACTATACAGTCTCATACCATCCCATCTGGGTACTCAACGTTAACACCATGATTTTCAGATTGATTCAGGAGAACAAAGAGGACTGCAGACTATCCTAGATGACCAGTTAGATCCAACTCTCGTTTGTACATACAGCCCAAAGCTCAGTTCTCTTTTCCTTTAATAAATCCATTTGGAGATTATTTTAATAAAGTAAACTGGGTCTATTTATACAATTATCAATTCTGTATTTTTGTTTAATTCATTCAATCTTTAGAATACTATATTTTTGTGGAAAAACTTGCTTACAACAATATATATCTCTAGAGAAATATATTATAAGTGAACTATGAAATTGGAGGTTTTTACTTCATTCACCAGGACCACTCACCATTTTATCTATGTTTCTAATCCTTTCACTCTTCATAAGTCACCACTTTTAGCATGCCACTATTCTGCTAAAGAATCTGAAATTGTTCCCCATCGCTTAGAAGACAAAAGTTTTAATTCATAATGACAAGGAAGGCCTTTGATAACCTAATTCTAATCTCTCTCTAATTTACTGTTTTGTACTATTTCTAATTACTATAGCTATATAAATATCTCCTCAATAAGATTTTAATTTCTTTAAAGACAGAGGCAGTCTTATATTTCATTCCCAGTTTCCACAACAGACACTCAATAAATACTTGCTGGAATTAACTCAAAATATTTCTTTTCTCTTCTAAAGAGAAAATCTTAACCCACCTAGAAAACCATCAATCCTGTCCAATCGAGACAAAGAGTATTTAGCCAACTGAGAAAGCCTCACTTGTCAAGATGGACATAACACACTACAGCTAGCATCTGGAATGGAATAAATGTAAATTCTAGGTGGATTAAAGTTTTAATCTATAAATTAATCTACATAATCTATATAAATGAATCTCTATTAATCTCTAAGACCTAGGTATCCAATTGATCACCTGGCTTTAGTCTTCCATCCTTGGCAGCTGTTCCTTTCTCCACAAGACTGGATATCTGGAGATAGGGCCCATGTTGGAAGATAATTAGTCCTAGTCCTTGGGTTCTCATTTTAAGAGAAGTCTTCACTGTTGTGCTCAAGGCATGTTGTGAAGGGTCTTTCAGAAGTGGAAACACCTCTTTAAACAGAAAGATAGTAATGCCTATCTAACATCTATTTTCTATGGAAATAAATTTCATAATAGACATTTTAAGGATTAAAGAATTATTTTTAAAAGTTTAATCCATTAAGTACTTTCCCAATGAAATGTTTTTGACAGTAATTGTTTTCAGGTCATGGATAATTCTATTTCCAGTATTTCACAAATCATCTTTTAAAGAAAAATGACATGAATTGCTATTTTTAGACCCTTCTCTGATTCTATGTATCTTCTTATTTTGGAAGTAAAAAATCAAATAAGACTTTTTAGACTACTAAATATTGCACTTTCTCCAGCTTCCACCTCCCTAAAGTGCCACTTAGGGTTATGAAATGCTCAAATGTGATCTGGCCACCTATTCCTTAAAGCGGGAGAGTTTGTCCATGATTAATATATTTATATCCCTTCACCTACCTAATTTTACTTTCACCAACAAAGCTTTGGAAGAGACTAGTCTGTGGAAGTGAATACTTAGCCTAACCTGCAATTCACTAACTACTCTGTTTCCCAGAAATCTCTGAGAAAACAATGGTCACCAAAGAGTGCAAAAGAAAGGAAGGGTAGTAGATGTCCTTCTATGAAGCTCAAGAAATCCAGAACTGTGAAAATCCATTATTTAAATTTTACCACAATTTAGTGGCCTCCTGCATAAGTGAAATAAAAAATTATTGATTGATAATAATAATACATCTTAAATTATATATTGCTCTAGACTCTGTGGCATAGCGTATAAAACATTGGGCTCGGTGTCAAGAAGACAGCATTTTAATCTTAGCTGTGTGACCCTGGCCTGGACAATGACTTAGCCTCTCTGAACCTCACTCAGTTTCCTCATCTATAAAACTGGGTAAAAAGAGCACCTATTTAACAATGTTGTCATATTAAATAATGTCATTAAACCTATAAACGGTCAGCTATTATTATTAGTTTCTCCCAAAATTCCTGGCCAAAAGAACTGAGAGGACAGGTGCTTTTTTTCCAAGGCCAATATATTATTCCTATTTTACAGAAACTGAGACATGGAAGGTACCATTGAGATCTTAAATGTACCCACTTCTAGTCAGGTCCCCTTTAATGCTAACACCTTTCCCTATGAGACTACCTCAAATTTACCCAGCATATATTTTGTATGTAGTTACTTGTATGTTGTCTCCCCCATGAGAATGTGAGCTCCTTGAGGGCAGGAACTGTTTCACCTTCTTTGTAGCCCTGTACAGTGCCAGGTACACAGTAACTCCTTAACAGATGTTTATTGAAACAACCTTCTCAGCTTTCGCCGAAGGAGTAAAGGAAGTGACTCCTCCAAGGCCACACTTTCCAAGGCTGCCTAAGCAGAAAGCTCCCCGAGGGTAGAGGCCGTGTCATTTCTGTCCCGACATCCCTTTGTCTCTTTGCAGGACTAACATCACCCCCCACTCCAGAGGCAGCCCAGCGGGGCGCCCACAGGGCCTGGGCCCAAAGACAGCCTCGGACACGCAGTAGCCAGCTGCCCCGGGCCCTCGAGGGCTCGCGCCAGCCGGGGTCCTGCGCGCTCATCACCTGCTTTACCACCGAAAGGAAGCTTGTCTTCCTCCAAGGCTCTGCGCCGGAGGTCCACAGCGCCGGGAACGGGGTCCATGGCGGAGGGGTCGGGGAGGGAAGGGGGGGGATCGGGGAGGGAAGGGGGGAGGTCGGGGCGAGAAGCCCCCGAGGAGACCAAGCTTCACCTCCAACCCCCGCTACCGGTTTCGAACGCCAGAGGACGCGGCTCGAGGCGGCAGCCACGTGAGCGCGGGGCGAGGGCGACGCGTGCCCTCCAGGACCGGGCCTTGCACGGCCTGGCAAGGCCGCCAGGGGATGCTGCGCAGCCGCACTGGCGTCCTCTAAACCCTAGCGAGGCTACAGAGGAGCAGAGGAGAGAGCTCGCTCAGGGTCTTCCTTGAGGAGTGGGAGGGAAGCTTGTGAAGGAAGTACAACAGGAGGTTGTTACGGGGATAAGAGGAGAAGGGGAAGTAGGTAAGATGTCCTTGCCTGAATACTTAAGTGTGTTTTGCCCTTCCATTGTGAGCACCCTTTGGGCAGGGACCATATTTTTGCCTTTCCACATTGTATGCCCAGGGCTTAGCACAGTGCCTTTACACATGGTAAACACTTAGTAAATGCTTGTTGTTTTAGGAGGGAAGATGATATGAAGGATTTTGTTGGGAAAATTATAATGATGCAAAAAAAATGGCTTTCAATTATTAGAAGAAAAATTCTGACTAGACATAAAGAACTCCTCCCTGCACTCACTGCAGTAGTCTCCTGGGGAAAGCTGTGGACTCTTCCTGAGAAGATCCCATTTGCTCAAGGAAGGTTTATTGATGGTATAGTCCTGCCAAAAGATGGCTACTGAATTCCCCCTATGAAAAGGAATCCTTCAATAAAGGATTCCTTTAAAAACTGAGCAGGTTTTTGATCACCAAAAGCCATTTTACTGAGCTCACCACTTTACAAAAATTAACTCTTTAAACTTCAAAACGATTCCTCGAGTAACAATGTGTTTCTTTAAAGACAAGAAGAATTACTGTATAAATAAAGGGATGAAATAATTTTAGGACTGGCACCTAAAACTTCCCTCTTCCTCTGAAAGCTGTTTAACTAATCTAAAAAACAATAAAGGCAAACACTATTTCAACAAAGAAAAGTTTTATTGGAACAAGATTAAACTTTCTCCCCAAATCCTAGAAACAGAAGTCTTACATTTGTATCATCAGCACACAAGAAACAAAATGTGAAAATGTTTCTTCTCAGTCTAGGCAGATACAAAAAGTAAACAAGAAGAATGAAGGAAAGGAAATGTGATTTTTTAAATGTTAATAATCAGTAATCAATATTAATAACCAAAAATCAACCAACTTAAGTATAACAGAATTCCTTAATGATACTGATGGAGTGCTTGGGTGCTTGCACTTGGACTCCAATTTCTCCCTTGTCTCAGAAACACTGTCTCTGACAACCAGTCCCCAGCCCAAGGACACTGCCTAGCAGTTATTCATGCATGGGCCTCAGCACCACCCTTATCTCTCTTCCTAGTCCAGCTACACAAAGCTGGGTGAGAGAGTGCTGGGCTGCTCAGGCCCCAGCCCTCAGATCATGTCTCTGGAAGCCTCCCAATTCCTTAGTAAGTTCCTGTCCTGTAAGAAAGCTTTCCCTTGTTGCAGAGCATTCTCTCATCAAGACAGAGGGAGAGGGATGCCTTGCCCAGCCCAAGGAGTTTTGTCCTTGGCCAGCCCAAGGACTCTTCTTCCTGCCAGACTCCAAAGAGCCATACCTCTGTCATCTCCCTCCCTGTCTGGTATACTCCCTATACTTTCTCATCCTTAGCTCCCAAAGACACCTGCACCTTTGGATTACCTCATCAGTGTCCCTGGCATTCCCTTCCAATACCTTTTTCCATATAAACCCTAGCCCCATCCTCAGTCTCTCACAGGTTCCTTAAGAATCCTTGCCTGCTGAAAAGCATAATAATAAATCTTTGTCACCTTGACTTGAAGAATGCTTGAGTCTGTGAATTCATTCCAGACGACCTGGCCTGTACTCCAGTCTTTGAGAGGTCTCAATCTCTCAGATTCGCAACAATACCACACTCATCTCCCGTGTCGTTTTTTGCTTGAACTATTAAAATTTTAAAACCCCACCTAGGTTTTCATTGAACTACCTATTAAATTTCATTAAACTACCAATTAAACTACTAAATGTTCATTAAAAAATTGTTTTTCTACATATACTATTTAAAATTTTAATCTCTTGGTTTGATTATATCTTGAAATCTCTTTAAATCAATCCATATGTTAATACAGTATGATGTCTTCAGTCAACTCTGAGCTCCAAAAGATGTTCCTTTCTATGTAAAACAATAAACATAGCTTGGAGGGATGAATTTCCTGTGTCTCTGTAGCATTAAGAAGACAAACAGAACAAACACAAAGTTGCAGGATATTAACAAACAAGAATCCATCTATAGATAATGGAAGAATTCATGACCAAACAAGAGATAAAGAGGTTCAAAGAAGGTAAAATGGATAATTTTGATTATATAAAATTTAAAAATTTTTGCACAACCAAAAACTGCTGCTAAAATCGGTAGAAATGCAGGATGCTGGAGGAAAAATTTTTGCAGCAAGTTTCTGTGATAAAGATCTCATTTCTGTGATATATATGGAACTGAGTCAAATTTACAGGAAAAAGAGCCATTCCCCAGTTACTAAATGGTCAAGGATATTAATAGACAATTTTCAGAGAAAAGAATCCAAATTATCAATAGGCATATTTTTAAAATGCTTTAAGTCACTAATAATTAGGGAAATTAAAATTAAAACAACTCTGAGGCTTCACCTTGCTAACATGACAGAAAGGAAAATGACAAATACCGGAGCAACTGAAGAAAAAGGGGCCCGCTGATGTACTGCTGGTGGAACGGTGAACTAGTCCAACCATTCTGGAAAGTAATTTGGAACTCTGCCTGAAAAGCTATTAAAATTATTAAATTGTGCATATCCTTTACACAATACTACTACTTAGTCTATATTCCAAAGAGATCAAAGAAAGAGGAAAATGCCCCATATGTACAACAATTTTTATAGCAGCTCTTTTTGTGGTGGGAAAGAATTGAAAATTGAGGGGATGGTCATCAATTGGGGAACAAGTCTATGCATGAGATAGAGTACTGTACTATAAGAAATGAAGAAGGACAGTTTAAAAAAACCTGGAAAGATTTGTATGAACTTATCCAAAGTGAAATGAGCAGAACCAGAAAAATTTCTGTAATGACAGCAATATTTAAATAATTGAAATAAATATTTAAACAAATATTTTAAATAATCAATTTTGAAAGACTTAGTAACTCTGATCATAATGAAACACACTATCCACCTCCACACAAGCGATAGACTCAAACTGATGCACATTTTTTCTTTCTTTTAAAAAAAAAAACGCAGCTAATATGGGAATTTGTTTTGTAAGACTATGCATATTTGCAATAGTTTTTTTTCTTTCTCAATGGATGGGGTACAGCATAGAAAATTAGGAACTGAAAATAAAATAAATTTGAATTTTTTACAAAAAAAGACAGTAATTGTTGTTCAGTCATTTCTCAGTCATGCCCACCCTTCGTGACCCCATTTGGGGTTTTCTTGGCAAAGATACAAGAATGGTTTGCTACTTCCTTATCCAGCTCATTTTACAAATGAGGCAAACAGGATTAAGTGAAGTGCCCAGGATCATACAGCTAGTAAGCATCTGAAGCCAGATTTGAATTCAGGAAGCTGTCTTCCTGACTCCAGGTCCAGCCCTCTATCCACTTCAACACCCATAACTTAGTTTATTAGAGAGTTTACCTGAGGCACTAAGCAGTGACTTGCCCTTGGTCACACTGCTAATATGTGGCATAATCAGAACTTGTAGCCAAGTTTTTTTTATTTACTACACTACAATACCACCATCCCCCTTTTATTATTTTTATTATCACTTTAGAAGTCAGGCAAGGGGCAGCTAGGTGGCACAGTGGATAGAGCACTGGCCCTGAAGTCAGGAGGACCTGAGTTCAAATCTGGCCTCAGACCAAACACTTGACACTTACTGTGTGACCCTGGGCAAGTCACTTAACCCCAATTGCCTAAAAAGAAAAAAAGGCAAAAAACATCCCTTCTTTTCAGATGCTTCACCCTGTTTTCTCCAACATAATCAAGAGGTGGATTCTGTTGGCTCTGTTTGCTGCTGAGACTCTGACAGGACCGCTGGCTCTCCTGTATTTGCCAGCTTACATGGGTATTCCCATCCAAAATACTGTTGTCTAAAATCAGGAATAAACACAAAAGAAGCAGAGGTACCATGGACATGCACATATGGAGAGAGAGAGTAGACAGCTGCTCCTCCCCCACTGAGTAGCTCAACAAAGAAAGAAACAGAAATGTCCTAACCTTTTGTATGTAAACTCAGTTCTGTCTTAGAAACTCCAGTCATCAGTTTTTGTGGCTCCATACCCAATTAGAAGACTTTGCACCATCACATACTACCAGGCTCTCAGTCATGCATAGCTGGAAAAAATCTACCAAATTTCCACTTGTTGGATTAGAACCAGATAGAGAATATCTGCATACGCTCTGTATAACTGGCCAGGAAAGGCAAATCCAAGCATGCTTTGTTCCTGTAATATCTAAACCTCACAGGGTTGTTATGAGGACCAAAAAAGATAATACACAAGGTGTCCAAAAAGTCTTAATGTAGTTTGCTTAAAACTGTATTAAGACTTTTGGGACACTTATATATGTTAAATGCTTAATAAATCTTAAAGAAATATATGAATGTAAGCTATGATTATTATTCCCTGTAACTTCCACCAAGGTAATTTCACAATTAAACCATCAGAGACATGCTGCATGAAAAGAAGGAACCGAACAATTTGTTAAGTACCGCGTGCTACTATACTAAACAAATTACAAATACTATTTCATTTGATTCTCAGGACAACCCTATGTGGTAAGTACTATTACTATTCCCATTTTTCTTTTTAACCAACTGAAGAAACTGAAGTAGACAGAGGTTAAGTGAATTGCCAAGGGTCACCCAGCTAGGAGGTGTCTGAGGTCAGATTTGACAGGTCTTCTTGACTGCAAGCCCTGCAGTCTATCCACTGTGCCACCTACCTG